TAAAGATGTCTCGCTTGCTACCAATCGCTGGTCCATGGAGGAAGACATTACGTCTTGGCCCTGAACTTACTGAAACTCTCATTTGGCCAGCTAAAAAGGCTCCAAAAACTGTTTTCTTTATGATTCCAGGTATCTTTCATTTTCTTATTCTTTTATACAAAAAAAGCTTGTGCTTTGGGTTATTCAACTCTTTTTTGTATTTTTTTTTATAGGAAATCCCGGAATCATTAATTTTTACAACGAGTTTCTATCAGAGCTACATTCTCAGGATCCAGATAATTTGGAGATCATAGGGGGTATTGTTTAATTCATTTCTTTCGCCCTATTACCCGAGTACATATTTTTATACGAGATCTTTAAAGAAAATCTCTTTACTTTCAGAATAATTATCAAACCTTCATTTACACTTATTTTACACTTATTTTTGTGTTTGGCATAGTTTCTCACCTTGGACATTCGCTGTTTGAAAATGAAACGGGCCATCTGATCCATCCAAAAAGGACGTATTTGGTTCGCGATCAGGTTGACCATATAAAACGTGTTTTCTTATACTTTTATGAACTTTATTCAGACAACAAGCTATTCCCAACGATCCCAAAATTTGTTTTGTGTGGCCACAGTGTTGGTGCATATGTAATCGAGCAGGTAAATGAAACATTTCTACCTCTATTACCTCTATTACTATTGTTATTATCAGATTAGAAAATTAATTTCTGATTTTTAATTACTGTCTTTGCTTTTTTATTTCTGTTATCTTTGTTAGGTGTTTAGAGATTGTAGCCCTCTAATCAACAAAGTCTTTTACCTGTTCCCTACTGTCACTCATATTAGAAAAACGCCGAATGGAAACAAATTATGGTTTTTGTTCAACTCTTTTTCTATATTTTTGGTGAGCTGGTTTGCTGCTCTCTTGCGTTTTTCTGTCCCTTCATCCTTGGTTGCAAAAGTGGTTAAATCGTATCAATCCAATCTTCCAGATAACCTTGCGCATATGGCTATAAACAAGCTTATAAGATAAGTCTTTCTTCCTTTTTATTCTGTTTTTTTTTTTCTATTTCCATCTTGAAATTTAAATCATTGTTAACCTGAACTAATCTAATTTACTATCTAATACTAGGCCGACTGTTTTGAATGTTCTTACAATGTCAGTCGATGAGATGGATATCATTCTAGACCTCGACACCGAATTCTATGCTGATAACGGAAGCAAGTTTATAATGTATTATGGAACTACGGATGGCTGGGTACCACTTGAATACTACCATCTGATGAAAAAGTCAAATCCCAAAAGTAATTTTGCATTTATACCTGTTTTCTAAAAACACATTCTAATATACTTTATTATTATTTTCTAATTTTAAATAGTGCAAGTCCATTTATGCGAAAAGGCCATTTCACACAGTTTTATTGCAGGTAAATTTATTTTTTAATACTATTGTAACAGTTTAGAACAACATAAAACTCTTTCTTTAATGTACTTGCTGCTTATTAACCCTGCTGATCTAATTATTTATTTTTAAATATATATAGATGGGTCTTTTGAAATTGCTAGATTCGTCGGATCCTGGCTAAATAAAATGAATTAGGATATATTTTTTAATTTTTAACTTTTTTTTAAAAAATGATGCTTTAACAACATTAGATTTTATACGTTTATCATCTGCAAAAGATATTTATAATCAATTATACTTTTTTATTCTTATTTGATTTTTTTATCTAGCTTCAATCATGATGAAAAATTAAAAACAATAGTTAGTAAAAGTACTCGATTTTATTTAGATTTTATATGCCTAGTAAAGAAATCTATATAGGATCTGGATATTTTTCCAACGAATGAATATCTAGTTCTGTAAACAGAGTATGTGAAGGATTGTTTAAAAGTCGCTTAATATACCCACACTGTAAACAAGTAGTTTCAGTAAAACAGGCAGACTTGTATTCTAAAGCAAGGTATTTTAGGTTTTAGTCACAAAAATACTACAGATGCTCAAAAAATTGATAATAATACTAATAATATTGAAATACCTTTAATCCTGGTTTTTGAAGATACAGAGGGAACTAGTAATGCTTTGCACTTTTTACAAATGGTCCTCTTAATGTTAGGGTCTCTAGTACAAAAAGTAATAATAATAGTAAAGATTCAGATCATATTTCAATTTTTTTTCAGAAATTTAATTTCAAAAAAAGAAAGTTTATTATTTTTTAACTAAATTTGAGTTTTATTTATTTACAATGATACAAGCATGATTGAATTTTTTTTTTGGTCTGTTTTTATAAAACGTACACTGTAATCAGAAAATGCATTGTATTTATATATTTACAAAATAATCTTACAGTCTTAAAACAGCTTTGCGAGAAATTTCAAGCATGGTTTTGTTGTAAAACCTAGATAGAGGAATGAGATTGTTCTCTTTGCCTAAAAGTGGAAATTTTGGTGGTTTTTTCATAGTTTTTCTTTTATGCTTTTTTTTGTTTTTAACAATTTTAGCATTGGGTTTAATAGAAGCACAAGATTCCTCTTGCTGACCTTGTGTTACTGTATCTTTAATAACGCCATTTCCTTCTTTTATTAAGTCTTTGGCTTTATTGATATTTCCTTTTGCCTTTTTCACAACCCTTTCATTTCCGTGGGTATCAGAAGTATAATTTGTTTTTTCAGTTTTAGAATCTTGTTTCTCGGTTTTAGGCTTTGACAAATTTGGTAAAATCTATTAAAGGTTTTAAGGTGTTAATGAAGGTCTAAAAATACATTTAAAAAGTAGCAAGGATGAATAATCAAGGATACTTTTTTTCCTGCTTTTAGTGATAATTTTGGAATTCCAGGTTTGGGAGATTGAATATTTGTTTTTTGTTTACGAGTTGATCGAGATGACCTTATTGTTTTTTTTATTTGTGACTTTGGAGTACTTGAATCTTTTGTGTTTTGCGGGAGAAGCGATAGATACGAGGATGCTTGGTAGAGAAAATTCATTCTCTCAAACAGCTCCCGATTTTGTAAATTTCGAGAATCCTTTCGATTTTTCATAATTAATATATCAAGGATGTTAACTGTACATGTGAACAAGGAAAAACAGGCTAACAAAAATTGAATCTAATTTGGATTATTTACACTGAAAGAGATCGTTTTGAAATCATGTAAAGAACTTGGTTTACCAAATTTAAAAAAAAAACATTAATAGACGAGAATCGGATTCTGGCCCCTGACTAATAAAGGATGATCCAGCCACACATTTTACAACATATTTTTCTCTCCCAGTAATAATGTATGTCACCATTTTTTAATGGACAAGAATAAAGGATTGTATTTACCACTAATCTATCCAATAAACAATTCTTATTGTTTTTCTTTTCTATTAACGGAAATCAACTGTTTTTTTCTATGGAATGGAAAAAAAAAAACGCGAAACAATGTTGTAAAAAAAAAAAAAGCAAACTTGCATCGATTTCAATGCTTTGTTACATGGATAATCCTTTCTAGTTATTCAATTTCTGTAAAAAAGAAAAAACTAATAGTCATTAAAATAACTATTACTCCCAGGATACTCGTATAAAGCTTGCAATAAACTTCAAAAGAAGTGTAGTCACTCGATTCGCATACTCTTTTTCAAAAATACAAGAGATTAATTGGATTTGCAGGGTTGGTTTTTCTTTTACTCTCTTTAATTTTCCTGATTAAAGTAATTATTCGACATTGTTTCTAAAAATTTCTCTTTTTTCTTTGTTTTAATTTAGTAGTGTAATCAAATAATTGTGCAAACTATTATAGAATATAGAATAGATATTTGAAAGAATGGAATTAAATGCAAATAATCAAAAGTTTGTGAATGAGTCATTGAAGAAAGGGTTTCGTGTTGATGGGAGAGGAATATATGATTTGAGAAATTTGAAAATAGACCTTGGTAACCAATATGGGAGTGTCGAGGTACAGTTAGGAGAAACAAGGTAATTCTCCTTTTTTAAAAAATGATAATAATAATTTTGAAAAGCCCTCTAAAAAAACTAGTTTAAGAAAAAATTAGGGGGAAAGTAAAAAGGTGTATTTTATGCATTTTTATACTTTACGTATCTTTAATAGTATGATATTTTATTTAGGGTGCATGCAAAAACAAGTATTGAATTGGCAAGGCCACTCCCAGATCGACCTTCCGAGGGAATATTTATTATTTCTGTAGATTTTTCAGGGCCTGGATCGCTACAGCAAGGTGAAAAAGTGTCAGGACCAGCATCAGGTGTTGCAGCTGGATCAGATGCTGAGGGAAGAGCAGCAGCTCAGGAAGTTGCTATTTCACGACTTTTAGAAAAGATTCTGAAATCAACTCGAGTTGTCGATGTAGAATCGTTGTGTATTTCAGTTGGAGAACAAGTATGGCGATTAAGAGTAGATGTACATTTTTTGGATTATGGAGGAAACTACCTTGATGCTGGAATTATCGCTGCTGTTTCAAGCTTGTCTCATTTTCGTCGCCCAGAAGTATTAAAAGTAGGAGAAACAACCACGATTTATAGTGTTGAAGAAAGGGCTCCAGTTCCATTAAGCAT